TTTGTTTTGCCTTTGCCAGAATTGCCAGTTTATTTATTGTTCTATGCAATTAAATATCATTTGTGTATATATGTTTGTTCTTTGCTAAGACAAGAGTTTTTATACCCACAGTGCCTGAGGATTCACAAAGCTTGTATTTTTATTTTATTTTTAGTTTTTGGCGTGACTTGTACAATCTGGCGCCAAAAATCATATGAGCTTTGTCAAACCTCGGTGACTATTTCACTAAAAGACTCGTTTCCCCTGGCTGGCCGTGGCCAATTTCCTTTTCCTTCTCGAGGTTTGCCGCAGACTCTACGCCAAAATATCTAAAGTAGGGAGTTTTACCTGTTTTTTATCTTAGAGATTACATACAGATAACATCCTAAAAAGTGAAACCTTTCCTTTTCGCCCTGTATCCCAGAAACAAACTAAAGTGATTCTGTTTGTGGTATTAAAAGTTTTACAAAGGAGCGAAAACCGCAAGGCTCTGTCTTTAGAAATGGCTCAGATACGCTGCAGTCTCATCCAAAGTAGGACACGGTACATGACATCAGCGTTTAGCACTTATCCACAGCGAAAACTTTTATATTAATGGGTGCATCGACAGAATAGAATTTGTGCCAATAGGTTTGAGTTGTCTATGGTTCCAATGCATGGGAATTGTATTGAATGGGTTTTCTGGCGTTTACAGATCGCCATTAATATTGCTTACATTTACGTCTCGAAGTCAATGTTTATGTTCTATAATATTACAGAAATCCGGGGGATTATAGCAGAATTGTAACTTACGACGTATCTCCGAGCTTTCGCAGATTGTGTCAGTAAATTCAATTTGCACTTTTTGCATATTCGCGTGAAAAACGTAACTAGCAGACACAGATGTGAAGCAATAACTGTCAGATTTAAACCTACCATAATGTGGGTCTTACATTTATTACATGACTTTTATGTCTGACAGTTACTTGGCAGAAACTAAATTACATCATATCATGGCGAAAATCTCCACAGGCAAATGGGACAAATAAATAATTGAGAGTATTTTTTTGCGTTTCATTGTATTGCATTGGATTACTTCTTTGCGCAATTACTAAAATAACAGCTCTAATTGCGCTACCACTCAAAGCAGCTCGTAAAGTGGGTACGTGTGCACAATCTCGCATCCTTAATAATTTCGAAACTTCGGAAAACTAAACGAAAATAAAGGAGAACGAATCGATTTTACATCCACGTGGCGACAATATGAAATTGGTCCACGCGGCCCTCGCAATTTTAAAATAATCGAGCGCTCCCCGAAAACACCTCTTCGTCATTTTATAACCACTAAAAGTAAGTGAGATGTGGTAGTATAGCGGGATTTGCAACACTTGTTTCATAACCTCCCCATCGCTATTTTCTCATAAAGCATCCTTAGCCGGCCACCCTTGGGGCTTCCTCCACCTGCCGCATAAATCAGATACGCTCCGGAGCTGAGTTGAGACTAACCGTGACGAAATTAGAGCGAACAAATTGAGTTGTCCATAAAATTTATTCAAGAGTATCGAGATTTATGAAGAGTATTCTGGAATTAAAATGCGCGAAGGGAAGATGTAGTTGTTCGAGAATAACCTGTCCGTTGAAGAGAATTATTACATAACAAGAATATCATATTGTATGCCTTTGTACCGCAAAATAATGTACGGCACCAATAAATTTTCAAATCCCGTTTCGTACAATTTTTACTTCATGATTTTAGATTCGTTGAAATCGGTTGTTTCGTATGCTATTTTTTTCTGAAAAATTGTGACTGATGTCAATTTAGCTCGCATATTTTCGAAATATAGGAATTACAATGTCTGTCGCCGTTTATCGGGATTTGTTCTTTAAGGCATTTGGAATCAAAGCCCACGTTTCACATTTTGGGATCGATCACTGATCAGATCGACTTTACAATTTTACAAACAGTAATCCAAATTTACATACAAGTAAGAACAATGACACATTACTGGCGAGGAAATATTGAAGTACGAGGCCTCTTTGGGGCAGAGTACTTTAACTTCGGAGTCAAGTAGTGTCACTTTACTTACGAGTTTTGTATTACGTTTTACCCGAAATCGTATTTTAATATAAAAGTTCAATTTTCATACAGTACATTTGATTATTGAAAATTTGGGTAAAAATTGAACCCTTGAGACTTTTTGAATGAGGAGTGTTTTACCGAAATTTCGCTCGTGAGTGCTTCGAAATAAGATAGGTAAGATAGATAAATAAGGAAGCGCCCAAAGTTTAATTCTTGTTCCAGTGCAGTCGTTTCCCCGACGAAATAGACAAATCATTTTGCTCAAATAACGTTTGACCGAAGAAAAGCTAAAAGTGCTCATAGATCGTAATAGAAGAGCGGAGTACGAAGAGACAGACATTCCAACGTTCCTGCCTCGAGATGGCACACCCCTACAGAAGTAAGCGAAGAAAGCTGATCACATAGCAATAGTTTTTTAAATTATGTTATCAAAAATCTCTAAACCTTCCCCATATAGTTTTATTCGTTGAAGTTTTTAAAAATAACAGCGACTATAGTTTCGGCGTACTGCCATCATCAGGCGACTAGAAGTGTATCACAATATAGCAAATTTGAAAACATTAAGAGCTAGTACTTACTGTGAAAAGTTAACAGGAAAACGGTAAATTACAAACGTTGAAGACGAATAAGACGAACATGTTGTTTTTTTTAATTATTAACTGGCCGAAGCCAAGTGAAAAACCTGAAGGGTGGTTAAAACGGAAAGGTTGTCCTAAGTTTCAAGACGAAATTATTATCAAGCCTTGTTAAGACAACCAACCGGAGGGTTGAATTTTTACATTAAAGGTTGAAAGTTGGGTTAACCTAAAAATGAACAAAGTTTTAGATTTAAAAATAACTTATCTAAAAGGTACTTACACATTTCAAAAGAACGGGGGGAAAAAATAAACTTATAAAAGTATTGAAACTATTGAGATGACTACATATTTAAATTATTTAAATTCGAGATCATGCAGACGGCATGTCTCGAAATGATTGACAATTCGGTATAAGAGGAAACTGACATATCGATAAATTTATAAATTTTGAAAAGATGTATAGGGTGAATTGAAATTATTGTAAAAACAGAAGATTGTTATTAAAGCCAAGAACTTCGCTTCGCTTTAATAACAATCTTCTGTTTTTACAATAATTTCAATTCACCCTATACATCTTTTCAAAATTTATAAATTTATCGATATGTCAGTTTCCTCTTATACCGAATTGTCAATCATTTCGAGACATGCCGTCTGCATGATCTCGAATTTAAACTTTACTTAAATAATTTAAATATGTAGTCATCTTAATAGTTTCAATACTTTTATAAGTTCAATTTTTTCCCCCCGTTCTTTTGAAATGTGTAAGTACCTTTTAGATAAGTTATTTTTTAAATCTAAAACTTTGTTCATTTTTAGGTTAACCCAACTTTCAACCTTTAATGTAAAAATTCAACCCTCCGGTTGGTTGTCTTAACAAGGCTTGATAATAATTCGTCTTGAAACTTAGGACAACCTTTCCGTTTTAACCACCCTTCAGGTTTTTCACTTGGCTTCGGCCAGTTAATAATTAAAAAAACAACATGTTCGTCTTATCCGTCTTCAACGTTTGTAATTTACCGTTTTCCTGTTAACTTTCACAGTAAGTACTAGCTCTTAATGTTTTCAAATTTGCTATATTGTGATACACTTCTAGTCGCCTGATGATGGCAGTACGCCGCAACTATAGTCGCTGTTATTTTTAAAAACTTCAACGAATAAAACTATATGGGGAAGGTTTAGAGATTTTTGATAACATAATACATTTCAACCCCATTTCGAGGAACGATGGATCCAACTCAAAAAAAAAAAAAAAAAAAAAAAAAATTTTAAATTTGAATCCCTATACCATCCAGGGGCACGAGCTGTGGGGACGCAAAGATGGCGAGTAAGAAAAAGCCACCCTCCCTCACTCTAAAGGAGTTGCGACGGCCAGATGTGCTCAGAGTAGGTAGCGGTGATGTGGTGCTCGTTGTAGTCGTGATGGTGTTGGTGAGATTCGGTCCGGAATGAGCGGCTTCGGTGGTTGAGCTTGTGGTACTGGAAGCTGGCCACGTTGGGGGTTGGGCGCTGTGCGGAGGTCGTATCCAATAGGCGTTCGTCCCGGCGTGCGCTATAATGGGGTATGGCCCGCAAATTTGCGCCGCAAGTCATCGTTAACGTTCCCCCCCCCCCCCCGTTCCATCACGAGATTGCCTTCTTGGAACTGGGTTTTGGTAGTTCCATGGTTAGCATAGCGCAACCGTGTACCTCCCTTATCCGTTGTTCTCTTGCTTCCTCGCCTTGTACCACTCTTGCAGGCGGATCGGGTTTCGCATGCCACTCCCCTGGTCACGGAAGCTCGTATTCCAGTAGAGTGCACGTTCGTAACGCGTACAGGGTATCCTTTCCCTGGAGGTGTCTATTCAGAGGCCTTTCTTGATCTCCTGGTTCCTTCCCTCCACCGAATGGGTGGACGCACTAAGACATATAGTAAGCGAGATAAGGTAGGCAAACAAGGGGACCTGGAGGACACGCGAAATCTGCCTGGTTGCTTCTCTGGACGTCAAGAATGCCAACTCGGCGGCCAGAAAAGAAATGAGGGGATTTAGTGACGGGCTACTTGCGAAACCGTACAGGCCACGTGATAAAGCCCTCAGTGGCAGGGTACAATTTTGTGTCGAGTGCGGGAGTGCCACAGGGCTCGGTCCTTGGTCCCCTATTGTGCATGATGATGTACGACAGTGTTTTGTCCATACCAGTGCAAGAGGGAGTGTACATCGTGGGGTTCGCCGATGACCTCACGGTGATAATGCGTGACAGGGAGCGAGGGAGGGCGGTGTTCAAGCTTGAGAACACTATTAGGACGTGGCTGGAGAGGCGAAGATCAACCTTGGCGCCTAGAAAAACGAAGATTAAATTGCGTTAATGACGGGAAGAGAAAAATCCAAGAGCTGGGGGTGGAGATAATGGGACAGAGGCTCATGACCGAATCAAAAATAAAGATACTAAGCACGTGGTGCGATAAGAATCTGTCGTTTATCCCGCACGCGGAGGAAGAATGTCTGAAAGCGATGAAGAACATGGCGATCCTCGGTAAGACAATGCCCAACGTAGTAGGGGCAAGGGCCAGCAAGAAGAAGGTGATGGCGTCGGCTTTCATGTCCGTACTGGGCTACGCGACAGAGGTATGGCAGCCGGCACTGAGGTGGGGAACGGCACGGACGAATTTAGATCGGGTGTTACGGTTGGTGGCGATCTGGGTGGCGAGGGCCTTTAAGACTGTGCCAACGGAAGACATAATGGTGGTAGCCGGGATTCCTCCCGCGAAAGGGCTGTTTAACGGCAAAGCGAACGCTTGGGGCAAGAGGAGGATGGGGAAGTGGCGGGCACGGTGGCTGACAAGACAGTCATGGACGAAGACGCTGATCCCTGACTTGACGCAGTGGATCAATAGGAGCCACGGGGAAGTGGGTTACCATCTGACGCAGCTACTAACGGGGCAAGGCGAAAACGGAGTGTTCCTCGCGAAGATGAGTGGTACGAAGAAGAGGGTTTCATGGAATCGAGCCATAGTGCGGCGGGAGTGACAGGACAGGGGTGTACAGGGTGGCCAAATAAGAATGTGAGGTACTGTATCTGAGAATCTATCCATCGTGGAGGCTTGCGGTAAAAAAATTTATTACTAAAACGGTCACGAGAAAAACCTGGAAAATATTTTTAAGTTTCTCAAATAGCCGCTAGAGGGCGTAACTGCAATCTGGAATGTAAAAAAGTGATTTTTCTGTGAATTCCGCTATATTAACCTAACAAAAAAATATCCGGTTTTTGAAGACGACGATAATCTGAACCTTTCTTGTTTGAAACTTTTTCCTTATCTCTAAAAATGAAGTGGTGGGAGGTATTCAAAGGTTTCCGTAAAGAACACCCTGTATCTTCGAAATGACTGCACCGATTTTAACAAACTGGGGTTAATTGAAGAGAGTTATTCTTCGGCTACAAATATTATAATATTTGAAGTTTCGCCGCTTGAGGGCTTTTTTCGACATTCCGACAGAGATGGTTAATTTTCTCAAAAAAATTAAATGCGTTGGTTTGATTTTTTTTCATGAAAAAGTAGCTAAATGATGCCTAAACAAGCTCGCGAAAACCGCATCTCGATATCTTGTTCCTAACCTAAAATTCAGGTCAAAGAAAATTGTATACCCTCAAAATTTAATTTTTTAAGCTAATTTTTCCGAAATTATTTTTATTATATAATTTGTGGCCCTAAGGTGGATCGATTTAAAAAAGGTAGCTTTTAATGCCGCCGTAAATGCTCGAAATGATTTTCGCGAGCTTGTTTAGGCATCATTAAGCTACCTTTTCGTGAAAAAAAATCGAACCAATGCATTTAATTTTTTTAAGAAAATTAACCATTTCTGTCGGAATGTCGAAAAAAGCCCTCAAGCGGTCATATGTGAATAGCTCTTTTGAACTAACCCGAGTTTGTTTAAATCGGCTCAGCCGTTTCGAAGATACAGAGTGTTCTTTACGGAAACCTTTGAATACCACCCACCACATCATTTTTAGAGATACAGGAAAAATTGTCAAACAAAAAACGTTCAGATTATCGTCGACTTCAAAGACCAGACATTTTTTTGTTAGGTTAATATAGCGGAATTCAAAGAAGCATCACTTTTTTAGATTCCAGATTGCAGTTACGCCCCCTAGCGGTCATTTCAGAAACTTAAAAATATTTTCCAGGTTTTTCTCGTGGCCGTTTTAGTAATAAATTTTTTTACCGCAAGCCTCTACGATGGATAGATTCTCTGATACAGTACCTCGCATTCTTAGTTGGCCACCCTGTACATATGTTTAAGTGGACAATGAAAATTGAAACGTAGAGAGAGAGCACATAGTAGATTATGACAAAGACTAACATCTATACAACGAACACCTGCTGCAGAGCTGCACACTTCCGGAAGAAATGCGGTCCCCGGAGTGTCTACAGATCTAAGAGGAGTGGGTTTAGCGGGTAAACCAAACCTTGATGGGAACGGGAGCCCCGCACTACCCCCCGCCCATAGAGTTTTTCTTGTATTAATATTTGAATTAGCGTTGTAGTCTATTTTATTTAATTACCCGAATATTAAGAAGAATTTTATGCTCAAATGCAGCTCTTCCTTTTATGTCGAAGAATCTGTATACCAAATTTGGTTCCAATCGGTTCAGGCGTTTAGCCGGAAATGAGAGTACAGACAGACCGCCAGACCGACATCATCGGATTCCCGGTGCGTGCATTTCCGTCAGAAAAGCGGAGAGAGGTGGGCATTTTCTACCCCAATGCAATACCTCCCTTACTAACTTGCGGGTGGTACTAAGTCTCAAAAGTACTCACTACTTTGCTTTAATAATCCAAATTGTTGTCTGAAGCCGCCTGTATAGATGCGATAAACGACGAAAACGAGCATTTATCACAGATTTATTTTAAAATTAATGCATAACCGTATACACAAACGTTCTTCCTTTGTTTATTTCACCAACACTAGTTCGATAACGATTGACGTTCTTGAATTGGCAGCTCCGATAAAAACTTTAATTTTAACAAAGACCCAAGCTTCCTCTTCTATAACTTGAAACTAATTGCGTGGACACTAACTTTGGACAGCAATCAGCAACTATTCCTGTATCACTTTTTCTCAATTTAACTGATAAACAAGAGTTCGAAACACCGGCTGACTACCAGAAAAATGCGTATTTGAATTTACATGCTGATGCAACGGACTGTCACGTACGCTAAGTCGAATGAACAGAGACCGCTCCATTAGATCGGCGCGCCTCCTTTTTTTTTAAGTCCAGACCATCTCTATCGCAATTTTTGATCTTTGTTAATGGCCGACGAAATGTGAGAACTATCATCGCACTGCCATAAGTGCCCTAAAAGATTCATTTAGTGTAAAAAGTAATTTATAGCGCAAAAGTGTAGCGAATTCATCGGTTGGTATTAAGAATTTGGCGGTAACACACCGTTTTAAATTAAAGTATTAGTTAATGTCATTTTTTTTTATAATTTTATTTATTTATATATTATAACTTACATGTATTTAATAAAAAAAAAAAAGGTTTCAAGATTTAAGAAAGGAAGAAAATTTCATTTAAAGATATTGTAGAAGGCAAAGTGCCCATAATACTAGCGGCATTGCCGCGCTGAATGGCCAGACTAATTTTTTGAATAAGAAATGTTTTTGAACGGTGCTCTCCTGTGGCATTTTTCAATTTCTTTCCTAAAGTATTTACAAATTGCATAGCTTCCGTACACCACGGTCCAAGGGTTTCAACAGCGAAAGGTAAAAACTGGTAACCTGCATTGATAATTTCCTGATATTTCCTCACCTTGTTAGCAGCAGTTTGTCTCGCAACCTCTCCAGTGGAATGCGAGGAAAGTGACAAGCGAGAAGAGGCAAGTGTATCAGAACAAGTCGCATCCCAAATTAAGTGTAGACCATGAGACCAAGGGATCAGAGTCATACCATCTACCCGTTTTCCGTCTGTTCTTGATAGTCCTAGGGGTTCTAATGTTGAAGGAATGTTTGCTGAGACAAGAGCTTTCTGAATAATGCAATTGAGTTCGCGATGACGTGATAATCTTCCAGCACTTTTCTGACAAGATAGACCATGTGTGCCTTGACGGTTAACAAGCATGCCACACATACAGTGGTGGGATTCACAAATTGTGCAACCTAGACGTAGAGCCAGTGCTATTCGAAAAACATTATCATTCAGTAGTGTTCCCAGATTTTTACAAGGAAGCGCATTGAGCCACGCTCCAGAAACTGATGATTGGCAGGCTAGATATCTTGCTGTATCGGCACTGGATTCTAATTTCAAATCATCACTCAACCTACTGATGTTTATAATATCCCAGTTTTTCTGAACAGCGGGTTCTATAGGAAGTTTCCCATAATTTAGTGAAAGCCAAGTTCCTAAATTCTCATTATATCCACTTATACAGGTCAAGTCAATTTCTGCGGTTAGAACCATTAAGGAGTTAACTAAACCAGCAACAGCGTGTATGGAAGAAAGAAAGGCGGCTAAATGAATGTCAGCAACTCTACGAATGCCAAGACCTCCATTTTTAATTGGTAAAGATGCCACATTTAACTGGGTAGGATCTAACTTGACATTAACGATTTTCTCGAGAGTTGTAAATATCTATTGTTTTATCAAACATGTGGACAAAATCGGTAAATCCATTTAAAGGTGTTGTCCGAAGAATATACAGGAGCTTAGGGATTGCTAAGCAGTTCCGTAGTAGATAATAAGCGGTGTGAGTATTAAGTAACTCCAGGCGTTCAAACAATATTTTCATTTCGTCAAGTTTTCGATTTAGAATAGTGGCAGTAGCTTGTGGGATCAAAGGTGCTCCTAATAGTGTCAGATCTTCCACAATTAATTTTATTCCAGGAGAAACAGTGGCAAAAGATTCAAACACCGCATTATCAAATGAAGACAGAAAGAAAATTTCACACTTCTGTGAATTAATTTGTAAGCCTAGATCATTACATTTTTCTGTTAAGAGTTTAAAGCTGGCGAGAACAGAATCTGGATTTCCCCCAAGAGTACCATCATCTAAGTACCACGCATTAAATTCCGACTGAATTTCTACTAGGACAGGTTGAATAGCAAGACAAAAGAGCATGGGTCCTGCAGGATCTCCCTGTTGAACTCCCACTTCTGACAGAATCTTCTCATTACCGAAGGATAAGTAGGATGCAGTCTGATAACATTGAGATAGGAATGACATTATGTCAATTAAATTTTCATTTAAAATAAGACGGACAATAAATTGGGGTAAGATCATAAAAATAGTGGTAAGGGTAAGTCAACAGATTAGCATTAATGGAATTCGTTGTGTTTGTCCTGTTAAAATGAGTGTGTGCGGGAACGATCCAACATTTAATTTACTAATCAACGGCACTGTTTCTGACTTGCGTATGACGAGTAAGTATTCTCGAAATTCTAATTAGAATTAGGAAATTTCTGAAAGGAACAGCTGACGTTTGACGAGTTGCTACGTTACTGGCGGGCACATTTCAAAGTTCAGTATTTGTTTCTTTGCGGTTTACTGGGTAAGTTGCTTTTCCAGGTAAATTTCGAATACCATACGTACAATAGCCATACGACCTTTAATTTTTAAGACGGGGGAGAACATTCAACCTCTTAAAAAGTTAATACCTTATACAAGCGAAAAGTTTCACTAAAGTATCAAACTTTTAATTGCAAATTGTTATCTCGTGCGCGATAAGCTGCTTTGAATATTTTTTTTTGCAAAATAAATGTGAGATTGTACAGTTTTAGAGACTTGCTTAATTTAGAAATGTAATTGGACCTGCTAATGAAACTTTTTCACTAATCTAGATAGATTAAAAGATCAGATTCTCGGCTTACAAGTGGTAAGAAATATGACACCCACTTCACAATTTTGGTTTGAATGAACTACCTCCTGTCATGTTAGTGTTGTTCGCATATGAATATTGTAAAATCGAATGTGTGCGCGCATTCTAAATTCGAAGCGTAGCATAGTGTGAAAACTGTCCTGAAAACTCAA